GAGTTCTACACTGAGCTTGCAGTGAACAACCAAGGCACAGAATGTCTTCGTCTCTTGAATGAAATCATAGCAGACTTTGATGAGGTGAGGCTTTTATCCTTGTGTGAAAGTGTTTTTTTTTTTTGTGTGTGTGACTTGGTAATGTGGCTATAGATTAAACAGCCAAAAGTTTGTAGAATAGTGGCAGATGTATGTTTCATACTGTCAGAGTTTTGTTTTTAAAATTTTATCTAATGATATACCTATTCCTTTTTTGGGGTGACAGCTGCTGGATGATGAGCGTTTTAAAGCTATTGACAAGATCAAAACTGTTGGATCTACCTTCATGGCAGCTGTGGGTCTCATGCCTGACATGAGAATACTGGATAAGGATGACTCTGCAAACTACTATATGACGATGCTTACTGAGCTAGTCTTTGCCTTTAAAGATAAACTTTCAAGCATCAATGAAAATTCTTATAATAGCTTTACCTTGAGAGTTGGTAAGTTGAGGTTACTTTGATGATCATGATGTTTATAACAAAGACAAATTATTATTCTTTGTTTTCTGATTTTAATGATGAAGTTTTAGTTTGTGTTAATGTATGGCACTATACTTTTAGGTATGAATATTGGACCAGTTGTAGCTGGCGTCATTGGGGCAAGGAAGCCTCAATATGATATTTGGGGTAACACTGTTAATGTTGCCAGTCGTATGGACTCCACAGGCCTTCCTAATCATACTCAGGTAAGAATTTTATATATTTTTTGATGGTAAGTAGTCATAGTATATTATTATTTTAAGTTACTGCATTTATTATATCTGCAGGCTTTTACTACTGTAATTATTTTATGCAACTAGTTGCTTGGTATTAGCGAGTTTATTACTAATAGTAAATTTTTCTATCCCCTTTTTTCTCTTAAATATGTTAATAAGTACAGTTCCTTGAGAGGGAGAGAACAAAAATTGCAGTATATAATAGTTTCAATTATTCATTTTGTCTTCACACTTTAAAAAACAGAAAACTGCACCATGTGCATAAGTTACTGTAGTTGCCTACAGTATCTTATGCAGTAGTTGTCTACAGTTGGTAAACTTATGATTACTTGGTTGATTACAGTTTACTTGAAATAAAGAAAAATGATAGTATAGAGTTTTTATATTTCATTTAATTACTTCAGGTAACTGAAGAGGTTTACCAAGTCCTCCGCAAGGGAGCTTACCAGTTCCAATGCCGTGGAAAAGTTAAGGTCAAAGGAAAGGGAGAAATGACAACATACTTCTTAGTCGATAGGAAAGAAGCCCCAACAATTAAAGCTGAAGATGGTCCTAGGCCACCAAAGGTACCACCTCATCTCCAGAGTTATGGTGAGTTTGTGATAGCAGTTGCTAAACAGTTGGTAGGTTTGAGGGAGAGAGTAGACACCTACAGTTGCTCGTTGTGTGAGTTTCATAGATGTATTATCTTTGCGGTAAAAAGGAAGTGGTAAGGATCTGTGTACAGTGCTTAAATGTAGAGCACTATTTTTTTTATCACATGAAACTCATCCATGATACACAGCTGTTGGTTTTAGTTGATGGCTGATTTCCTCATCCCATAAATATAGTTTAAGGGTGTCTAGGAAGAGATGGCTCTTTTGTATAGAAGCTCATTAAAATGTTTTTGAATCACAAGGACATCACAGTGAGGTTGATGGCTTGTGGAACTAAGTTTGAGGTTCTACATAAATAAAGTACACACATCAGATTGAATTATATCTAGAGCTACCATTAACATATGAATATAGGAGTTATATGTAAGGCAGAAATTTACTTCATTGGTGTTAAAAGTTAGTTTTTGTTCTGTGTTTTTTTTTTTTTTTTTTTTTTTTTTTTTTTTTTTTCTTCTTCTTCTTCTTCTTCTTCTTCTTCTTCTTCTTCTTCTTCTTCTTCTTACTGGCAGATAGTACTACACTTTTCCAGTAAGAATTTTCTGTAGCAGACTGTTATTAATCACAGCCTTTGCAAATTTTTGTTGAAAGAATATGAGAGTTTTTGACGAAGAAACATTACTGGCATAAAATAGGGTGAGTGAAGTTGGATCCTTTGATTTGAGGAAGAGTAATATTATATAGGTTTGATTAGGTAGATGAGATTTAAGAAACTCAAGCTTTGATTAAAGATATCTTTTATTAATGCAGAACCAAAATAACAGAGACCAATTTTATATCATACTGATTTTAATTTTTGATTTTGAATATCAGAAGAAAATGAATTTGGTTCAGTAATATTTGCTTCCAGTATTCCCATAGTGTACAAAAAACTAGTTGATTGCCATTAGGAAACACAAAATATATTTACTTTTCCATTGAAAAGTACTGATCTCATCACATTCTTAAAGGCTTAACAGCTGGAACAGTAGGTTGATAGTAAGGATCTGCATATGGTAAATGGTTTAGTTTGTGCTGCAATCCACCCACATTCTTTTCTATATCTTAATATAGAATTATATTGGTTAGAATAAAATTCACCTTCTATCAA